GCCCTATAGCCCTAGAGCCCTAGAGCACTATAGCGCTATAGCCTTATAGCCCTATAGCCGTATAGCCCTATAGCCCTATAGCCCTATAGCCCTATAACCCTTTAGCCCTATAGTCCTGTAGCCCAATAGCCCAATAGCCCATATAGCAATGTAGTCCGATATTCCTTCACATCTATATCCCCATACCCGTATAGCTCCATAGCCCTATATCCCTGTAGCCCTATAGTTCTATAGTCCTATAGCCCTATAGCCCTATAGCCTTATATCCCTTTTGCCCTTGAGCCCTAGAGCCCTATAGCCGTATAGCCCTATAGCTCTATAGCCGCATAGCTCTATAGCCCTATAGCCGCATAGCTCTAGAGCCCTATAGCCCTATAGCCCTACAGCCCATTCAGACTCCAACTCAGATTCTCTGATTCCCTGACTGAGTCTTCCGCATACCGCTCACACCCAGATACAGTAACAGTGTGCTCAGTCATATTCAGACTCACACGCGAAGACACATTCACATTCAGACTCACTCACATTCAGAGTCACTCAGCCTTCACGTTGAAGGCCGTGTCGGCCGTATTGATGTCCATCCTGGTCCATGCTCGTTGTCGTGCTGGCCGTCCCCGACCTTGTTGGGGGCACCTTGGGCTGTCTTGGGGCACTCTTGGGGGCCTCTGATCTTGAGGCCAGTTTGGGAGCCTCTTCAGCCGACCTTATTGGGGTCACCTTGGGCTGTCTTGGGGCGCTTTGGGGGGCCTCATCGCGAGACCATCTTGGAGCCTTTTGGGGTCTTTTCAGGGAGCCCGCGGGAGGCTTTTCTTTTTCTTGGGGGCCATCTTGGGGGGAAAGGTTCAAAATGCCAGTTCGTCTTTCCCATCGGGGGCTCTTTGGGGCCGCTCGCCATTTTCGCGGGTTCGTGGGGGGATCTTTGGGGCCTTCTTGGGGCCTCTTGGGGCTACTTTGGCCCGTCTGTGGGATTCGTTCCTGTCTTCGCAGCACCGCTGCTATATCATTTGAATTTATTCGGAGGCATTCTGGGGATATCATTTCATGCGCGTGGGCGAGCTGCGCCATTTTGCAGGCCTGCCGGGTCACTTTTGGGTCTGCGGAGGCATTATTGGGAGCCTCTTCTGGGCGTCCTACTGTCACTGTGGAGGCATATGGGGCCGTCGTGGACGCCAAGAGCCCTGCAGATGAAGGCTGTCCATCTGAAAGAGTAGGCAAGGTGGAAGTCCCGCAGCCACTTCGGACCAAGGTGTTCTCTCAGGCAAGCGAACTCGCGTTGACTTCCTCAGCATGACCTCGTTCCTCCAGTCGGCCGGTGGCTCCCCGCTGAAGGCCCGCAAGATGGACGCGAACTCGAAGGTCCAGGCCATGGTGCTGGAGGTATTCTTCGACGTCAGTGTGCAGGCAAAGGGCCTGGCATTTGATGGCGGCATCGTCGGAGTGCTCGCGGATGCGGGCGAGCTTGTCTGCAGGAAGGAGTCCAAGAACGCAGTTCGTTGGATGTCCGGCTTGATTTCCAAGAATGCGGCCAACGTCCCCGAGTGGGCCACAGCATTCAATGCTGGGTTGCCGCAGAACGTCGTGGCCGAGTACATGAGCCCGTCGCACCAGGACAACCCGACTGCTGTCGTCCAGGAAACGGCAGAGGGCGGCATTGCGAATGCCCCAGGTGCGTGGTGCTTCGGGATGCACACGCAGACCTTCGAGGAGTTCCGCGCCGTGCTGCGCCAACTGATCGGCGAGGCCATGGGCGTAAATGCCGTTGGCCGCCCAGGAGGGTTCTCGCACCAGGGCGGAGCGTCGAAGCTGCTGTTCCGGGAGAACACGAATTCCACGAACCATTCCAGGTGGACGTCGTGGCATTCCGTGCAGATTCGCCCAGTGGGACTGGTCGCCGACAAGTACGTCGATGGGCTCCTCGATCTGGTGCAGGAGTACCCGTTCCTCGTCCCGTCTGGAGCTCTATGCGCTTGCGCGGTGGAGCGGTTCCGGTCCGTCTTCACGGCCTGCGCCCCGGCGACGGACTTGACCGGAGTGGCCGCGAAGGTGAAGGCGCGCGAGGACAAACTCATCGCGGAGCACTTCGCCGCGGCCACGCTGTCCGTGGATGCGGGGCAGCGCGGGACGCAGGCAGAGATGGCGAAAGAGACAACCGCCGCCGGCGTTTTCCAGATGTCGATGGCGGGCGGCGTCGCTGAATCGCCGACGGCGGGGGTGGAGGCGGTTGGCGCTGGCGCGGCGCCGCCGTCAGCGGCCGCGGCGGCGGAAGTGACGCGCGCCGCCAGCGCGTCCCAGGTGGCGACGGCGGGCGGCGTTGCCGCGTCGATGGCGATGACGTTGGCGGCGGTTGGCGCGGGCGCGGATGCCGTGCCCCCGGCGCGTGCGCCCGCGGGCGCCCCGGCGGTCGGTGCCGCTTCAATGGCCAGCGGCGGAGCCTTGGCGGTCCCGGCGGTGGCTCCGCCTGCGGGCGGCGCCGGGGATGCGCAGGCGCCGGCGCCCGCGGCCGCGCCGCTGGCCCACGCCGTCCCGGCGCCGACCGCCGCCGCGGCGGAGGTGACGGTGGGCGCGTACCTCGAGGCGGCGACGGCGTTCGCAGCGGGGGAAGCGCGGAGCGCAGCGCAGTCTGCGGAGAGGGCGAAATACCGTGCGTTCAAGGGCATTCAGCTGGACATCGCTGCCGCGGTCAAGCGTTTCGTGGAGATGCCGGGGGTCGGCGCGGAGGCGCTCGCGGGCACCGTGTCTCGCTGGCCGGCGGCGGCTTTCCCGGCCGACAGGTTGCCGCGCGAGGGTTGCATTTTCGGGGGGGGCGCCCGGGCGTTTCCGCGTCGGGAAGGCAAGCGCGGCTATGATTATCGCGTTCATGTCGCGGTCTTCCCGATCGCCGCGCACCGCTCCCGATGCGGCGGCGCAGAGGGCGCGTTGCCTCGGGAAATGCAACCCCCGTTCGAAGGCTCGAGTGGGCGCAGCGCCTGACGATCATCGAGGGGGACATGGCAGCCGCGGCGGCGGCGAGGGACATGTCGCCGGAGGCGGCCGTTGCGAAGATCGTGGCGAAGCTTGATCGCTTCCTCGAATCATTGCAGGCAGATGCGCAGGCGGCCATGCTGGCGGACGACATGGCGAAGCTCGACGGGCTGGAGCCCATGCTCGACGGCCTGGAGGTTCTGCTTGTGCTCGTGCGCGACAGCCCCCCCACGGGCGACCTCCTGCGCGCCCTGGAGCCCATGGAGAACGCGGAGACAGTGAGCGCCCTCAACCTCGATGCCCTCGCCGCGGTTGCCGCGGCCGTGCCGCGCCAGGGCGGCGCCGGGAAGTAGCGCCGCTCCGAGCGCAGGCTGGCCGGCGCTCTATCGGATGATGCTCAAGGTGTCCTTGGCCCAAGGTGCCCCAGAAGTTCCGCGGGGGCCCCCGCGGCCTCCAGAGCGCTCCTCGCGGGGGTCAGAGGGCCCTGGGGGCTCTAAACTGGCACGAGAAGCCAGAAGCGCATTGGGCCGGGGGCACCCCTGGCAACCCCCGAGTATATTCGGCTACAACCAGCCTTGCCCTCTCAGCGCCACGACTGCCGAGCCGCAGACTCGGCTAGAACCAGCTTTGCCTTCTCAGCGGCAGTTTTGACCAGGCCTCTTGACCAGCGCCTCGTCGTGCTTGCACATCTCTTGACACTGAGGGGTGAACCCGCACGACTCGTTCCAGCGCTCAGGTAGTCCAGCGCTCAGGTAGTAACATTTTCCAGCTCTCCCCGTCGGCCATACAGCGCGCTCCCATGATTATCGGGACTTTCGATCCGCAGCTGCTCGCACGGTGCTGCATGTACATTAGTTTTGACCTTTTTCGAGCACAATAAAAAGCGAAAGCAGCCATAACCCCAAACGCTCGGTCTAGGCTTGTACGTCCAGCGCTGTTGCAAAAACCTCCCTCCCTCATCTTTCTGAAGCTATCCCAGTGGTCTGTCCGATTTTTGAAAGCAACCTCCTTCATCATCAGCCCCCTACTTCAAGCCGCCAGCCGCCATCCAGCGCTTGCCATACGCTTGTCAGCCCCAGCATCTGCACTCAGCCTGTCAGCCGCCCTCTCCAGCCGTCCACCCCCCTTAGCCTAACCCCTAGCATCCTGTCCTCTATGTTTAGCCTAGCCCTCCTGATCCCGAAGCCACGGCCGCCTTCAGCCTTTATAAGCCTCTACCCCCCCTAGCAGCCGCCCTATAGCCCGTCTTTCAGCCTAGCCTGCCCTCATCATGTCTCCCTACATCATCAGCCTATAGCCAGCCTCAGCCCAGCCTATGATCCAGCCCCCTACCGACGGGGAGGACCATCATCATCCTACCTGCCATCATCAGCACCACCAGGACGACAAACACCACCATCGGCATCACCATCACCGGCACCACCATCGTCATCTTCACTCGCCGGCGCACGAGGCCACACGATAACGGTCACCATCATGAGCACCACCATCGTCTTCATCACTGCTGGGGAACTTCTGCGTTGTCTGTCCCGCAACCTGAGGTCGCGTTTAAACTACAATGCGAACCCGCAGTGACCGCGGGAGATACTCCGGGGAGCGATGGCCAAGCCGATCTCGGGCTCTGTGATTCTGCTTCCTGGCTGCACCTTCGAGGCCTTTTGATCCGACCCCTGTGGGCGGGCAGCACGTTCGCTGGGGCATCGGAGGTTGTGATCCATTCTGTCTCTGTGAACCCCAGGTCCTTTTAGACTTCCGGGATCGTGGAGCCCCAGGGGGCTGCGTGGCGTCTGCGAGCGCCCTTCCGAAAATCACGCTTCAATGCAAGACCATTTTGAAAACAACCCCGGAGCATGCGCCGAGCGCCGCGCAACCTGAGGTCGCATCGGAATTCGCCCATTAGCCGTGCGTCCCACAATGGCCCATCTCAGCGCGCGCGGCATCTGTAAACCATGTGGGCTCGATAGCGGCTCCGGGGTCCAGTCTTGCCGCAGTCAGGGCTGCCCAGTTGGCCCGCGGGGCGGCGACGCTTCTGGCGCGCCATGGCGGAGTCGAGCGACGAGGAGATCGCAGTCGACCAGGCGCGCGTGAGCGAGGTTGGGCTCGACGATGACGGGGAGGCCATCAGGCGGTCCCGCATTAGTTGCGCCAACGAGTCGCTGGGTCGCGTGGCTGATCTGCTCTCGGCGACGCGGCCAGGGATGCGGCTGTCCGTGCGCCCTGTTCGTGGAGACGGGCTGTGCTTTTTCCGCGCTGCGGCTGCCGAACTGGGACTTCCAGGCCGCGCGGCTTGGAAGCTGTACAGATGGACGCTGGTGAAGATGATGAAGCAGCGGAACCAGCAATTGTTCGCGGCGCTGCAGCTGGACGAGTACGCCGTGGAGAGGAGGGCCCGCCTGCAGAAGGAGTTGCCAGCGCAGGTGGCCAGTGGCGTCGCGTGGGGCAGTCTCCCCAACTGGAAGGTGGCGCCGCGGGCACGGGGAGGAAGGGGTGCCCTTCGCGGAGCCCGGAGATCCAGGAGCACATTTCCCAAATAGTGCTTGCACAGGAGGCACGCGATGCTTTCGAACTCTGAGGGCGGGGCCGTCGGGGCGTTGCCGAGAGGGCGTCTGGGGCCGCGCTTATGCGTTCACTCGGGCGAAGGAATTTTTTGGGGGACTGGTCTGGCTTTCAATGGCGGAGTCGCAGTGACCCCCGCGTTATCTCTTGCCCCCGCCCACTGCAGGTGTTCTACGTGGACATATGCATGGGCCTCCATTCGGAGGACGTGTCGGCAACGCGCCGATATGCAGACGCTGTTGTGATCACGCACTTCCTGGAGGCTTGTGGCGCTCTCGCTCTGTACGTGCCATTCAACGCGTGGAGCCAGGCGGCCATCTTCCCGGACCAGGGGTTGCTGCAGGGACGTGCGCAAATCCCAGTGCTCGATTTTGCTTTTGTCCACTATGACGTCGACGGGTATTCACACTACGATGCGGTGGACGTGGCGACGTCAGGAGCTAACGCTCCGCGACCGTGGGAGCCGTCGACCGCGTGCCGGGGGAAGTACAGCGACCCGTCGTGTTTCGCTGACGTGGATGCGCTATTCGGCGAGGAGGACGTGGCGGCTTTCTGTCATCAGGTTCTACGTATTCTCGACGACCCTCTGGGAGTGGAGACCGCGCCACCGCTGCCACCTCCACCGCCGCCGCCGCATCCTGAACCCCAGCCTCCACGCTCGCGCCATGAAGTCGGCGCGGCAGACTCTTCCGCTGGCGCGCCCGCTCGGGCGCCTTCTCCGCCGCCGCCGCATCCTGAGCCGAGGCGTCCGGGCGCTTGCAGTTCACTGAGAGGGAGTGCGGCGGGCGCGAGTTCCGGCAGCCACGCGCGCCCGCAGGCCGCCGACGGGGCGCGGCTGCCGCGCGCCGCGTCAGGGCGTCTCCGACCGCAGGGCGAACGCGAAGAGCATGCCGCTGCAGCCGCGGAGGCCCCCGAGTCTGACTCCGTCGCCGACCGGGAGTCATCGCCCTCAGAGCCGGCGTCGGACTCCAATTCCGAGCTGTCGGAGGCCCCTGCCGGGACAGAGCAGTCCGACGTTGACCACTTGGCCTGCGGCGCCGACGTGGCGCACACGACGCTGGACGTCGCCCACGAAGCAGCTCGGGCTTTCTCTGCATTTCTCCGGCAGGACCCGACGCTTCCTCCGCCGTTCGACCCGTCGGACGCCGCAGACAACATCCCGGAGGTAATGGACGGATTGCAGTGGCCGATCTGCAACTGCGCCGTTCGGCAGTGCCGCTGGACCGGGGAGACGGAAGGGGATTTGCGGCGCCACGTAATCAGCTGCCACCAGGCCTGCCTCCCAGCAGCGTGGAGGCAGGGGTGGAACAAGAGACTCGCTGACAGCGCCGACGATGTCGGCGTCCATGCCGAGGTGCTGGAGGAGCAGGAAGCGTGGATCTGGTCCATCTACTGCCAGGCGGTGGAGGTCCGGGCGCGCACTGGCATGCCAGCTCTCGGCATTTGCAGAGACCGGCGGGCAATTCGCACCATGAGGCAAGTGGCGAACGATGCTTGTTTGTCGTCGCTGGTGTGCTTCTGCTGCGGTCAGATCTACACGAGTGTCGAGGGCCCCGAGTCCGCTGGAGTCAGTGAGATTGGATGGACGCCACTGCGCGGGCTCTTGCGCAGTTGTCCGCGTGAGCTCCTGGAGTACGCCTTCGGCTTGGACGCGTTCCTGGCGCACTTCCCGCACCCTGCTCCGGACCACCGCGGGACGCGGTCGCACCACTATCCGACGCAGACAACCGCGTCTTCGCCGTGGGTGCGAACGGTGCGGTGGAATGGTCCGAACGGAAGCCAGAACTCCATGCGCTTCCTGTGCTGCCCGGAAGACGTGGTGTGCGACCGTCAGCATGGAGTTGTTGATGAGCTGTGCGAGTCGTGCCGCATACCTCTGTGCTGGCAGTGCCGCGGCATTTTCGCGAAGACGCGAACGGTGCGGGAGCGAATCCCGCGTCCCGCCATCGCCAACGACAACTTTGTCGGGTTCGTGTCGGCATGGTGGGAGAAGCACAAGCCCCGGTGGATCGAGATGGCCGCGGCCACGCCAGTGTGGACGAGTTTGATGGCGTTCTACGTCGAGGGCGATAAGGGCCACCTCATGAACAATCAGGCGAGCTGCGCGAAGTAGCGCGGCACTGCCCCTTCTCTGTTCTTTGCGGACCCCGCCCCCCCTGGAAACTGCAGTGTGGCCGAGTGGCGCACGGGGGGTAGTGGCGCGCTGCTCGCACGGCGAACCCCAGAGGCCATGCATCCGCACAGTCGGTACGCTGTCCGCGGTAATCTGGCCAGCTTCCTGGTGCATTGGGACGACGTCCTGGAGCGCCTGCTCGCCATCACGGAGAGTTCCAGTGCTGCTGCGGCGCTGCCCCACGACGGCGAGACGCTGGCCCACTTGGTTCGCTTCGAGTTCCGGATGAAAGACAAGGACATGTCGAAGCACCTGAAGCACATGCGCCTCCGCGCTCATGTGGTGCTGCAGCTCGGCTGGGAGCTCATCGACCGCGGCCACCCCGCTTTTTGTAGAGATGCTGGCAATCCCATCGCAATCGCCGCTGCCAAGGAGGCGTTTGAAAGGCGCGTGAAGCAGTGCTACCCGTGGCTCGGCACCCCCCAGGACACCGACGGGAAGGTCCCGCCAGCCGTGGACCGGGCGACGGTGGTGGCGGATCCGTCCAGGAGCAGTGTGCAGGATAACAAGCACGCGACTCCGGCGCTGGCCAGCACTGACGTCGCCTCTGTTTTCGACGATGCCAGACCGACCGCCTGCGCGCCCACAGATGCGACGTCCCGGCAAGGGACCGCGGGTCAGCGCCAACAGCGAGCCATGGACGGCGGGCCAGTCGTCCCGTACGTCGCCGACGCGGCCATGTTGGAGCAGTGGAACGGGAAGTACCCCGCGATCGCTTTCCCGCACACGCTGCTGTGGCAGAGCGGGGGGCCAGACTTCACGAGGTCTTGGCGCAACGGTGCCGATGCCGCACATCGGCGCCGCGCGGTGGGGCGGCCCGAGGAAGTGCAAAACCGGCCGTCCATCAGCATGGGGATGTGGCTTGCAGGCGTGAGTCGCCGAGTGGAACACCAGATCCGATCGGACTGGCTCTTCATCCCAGGCATGCGCAATGTCCACTTCCGCTTTTTGGGCATCACCGCGAGGTTGGGGAGCAGAGTCAGGAAGTACAAGGACGAAGACGGATCCGCTTTCACGGAGCGCCTGACCACGGCTGTCCGCGGGTTGCACGACCTGTTGGCGAAGGGGTACTACGGGCCGAACAGGCGGCCAATTGCTGGCAACTTGACGGTGCTGCACATGGCGCATGGCCTGGACACAACCCAGAAACAGATCGTGCACAACATGCGCTCTGTGACGAGCAGCCTTGCAGGCACCCAGGAGCTGCGTCGCAGGATGGGCCACGTATTCCAGTCTGGCGCGATTGGATACGGGCACGGGCTTTTCATCACCATCTCGCCAAATGAGAAGCAGTCCTGCTTGGTGATGCGTCTACACAGAGCACGCCAGGGCGACCCGCTGCTGCGCGCGGGGTGCACAGACGACGCACGGAATGCCATGAGGAAACGATTGGCGTCACGGGAGTGGCCGTCATTGTCGGAGAGCGCCGACGCGGAGCTCCCCGATTTCGATTTGCGTCTGTGCGAAGTGGCCAATGATCCTCTCTCGGTCGTTCAGGGCTTCCGCGTCGCCGTGAACGTGATCTTGGGCCGCCTCCTGGGTCTGCGGTTGTGCGCCGAGTGCGGCGTCGCGCGAAGATATCGTAGGCAGCCCCGGTGCTGTTGCTGCACGGACAAGTTCGGCTCCAACTCGCGCCCCATGGGCGGGATTTTCGGGGTTGCTGCAGCTTTGCTTGGCGCCGTCGAGAACCAGCACCTAGGCACGCTCCACTTCCACGGGTTCGTGTACCTCGCGAACATGTTCCAGCACGCACCCTTGACTGAGATCGCGAGGACAATTCGGGAGTCCCCTGGCTTGGCGGACGCGGTTAAGGAGTGGCACGCGTGGGTCCACAGGGAAGAGCACTGGGCCCCCGAGGAGCACCGGGAGAGCCTACCGTCGCTGGAGTCTGAGTGGCGGCAGAATCACCGCGCATCGGAGCACGTAGGTCTGTGTCGGTGGCCCGCGTATGTGGACCATGCCGAGCCGAAGACGAAGTGGGACGAGGGGTGCGATGCCGTTGCCTGCGACGCCGACGCGGCCACCTTCAAGCAGGCTTACGAGGCAGATGCGCAGATGATCTTCTCGAAGGTCCAGCATCACCACCATCCCAACGGGAAGCCGCTCACACACTGCATCAAGAAAGGCTGCAAACACGGCGACAAGTGCAAGCACGGCTTCCCGAAGACCATGCTCATGGCGGCCCCAGATGGACCGAGATTCCGCGTTGTGTGCCCTCAGGTGGCCAGGGAAGTCGGGCTTAAAGTGAACGGGCCGAGGAATGCGTTGGGCGAGATCGCGGGGCCTCGGAACGACGATTTCCTGAGCGGGACTTGTCCAGCATTGGCGGTGGCATTTCGGAGCAACACGCACACGGCGCCGAACAACCGGCTCCCGCTGATCACAGGCATTACTCACGACCCGAACTGCCTGTGTCGACACGGCTCCAGAGAAGACACAGAAGAAGGGCACCTTCGACGCATCGCATTCGCGGTGCAGCGGTCCATGTCGAACTCCTCGCGGTACATCGGCGGGTACATTTCCAAGGTGCAGCGCGTCGGGAAGAAGGCGCGGGAACTGGCGAAGACCTGCCTGTCCACGCTGGCCGAGCGACTCCATGGGAAGTCCGAGATGCAGCAGACGCTCTACACTGTGCACCGCTGCATCGGGGACTGGGAGGCCAAGGGCGTGGCGCGGACGATCTTCGAGGAGGTGAACTTGGCGCACTTCGCGGACAGGCCGAACCCGCTCGCAGCGGAGTGCATCACGTCGTGCCCTGTCGCCGACTTCTACGCGGGCTGCTTCCTCCAGATCGTGGCCGACGAGACTCGGGCGGGGCGCGCGACGGCGCGGCGCCAGAAGAGGTCCGTGGTGTTCACGGACGCAGGCGAGGTGGCCACTCCGCCGGACGCGACGGCGCGAGCGTACGCCTACCGACCCAATCATGCCGAGTTGAAGACTTTGAGCCCGTACGAGTTCGTCCGCTTGTTCGAGGTGGTACCAACGTACCCGCCACCAAGAGATGCTTCGAAGCCATCGACGGGCCCGACGGAGTGGAAGGCGAATTCGCCGCCAGCCGCGGCTGATGGGCCTCCACGGCCTGGGGTCCATTATGTCGTGAAGCCACCCGCGGAGGGATGCAGGTACTTTGCGCTCGAAGAAGACCCAGACGACATGGAGTTCGCGCACATGTACGTGATTGTACCCCGGGGCGTCCCCGCGCTACCCGTCTTCATCGGGTCCGTCATGCCTCAGCCCGACATGACGCCTGAGCGCCGCAGCGCCATTTTGTCTGCGTACTTCCGACCATGGACATTGGTGTGCAAGTACGGATCTTCTCGGGGGCCTGTTCCGCTCGCGAAGAATCTGAACTTGCCGCCCAAGCGCCAGCGCTGTGGGAGGAGCGCGCCGAGCTTCCGAGTAGCCCTCAAGCACTACCTTCGCGGCCACATCGTCTCGCCTTCCAACCGCTTCCTGTGGGCGAACGTGCTCCGCACCATGACGACGATGCCGGAGAACGCCGACGAGGGCGAGGACGACCAGGACTCGAAGCCGGTGGAGGCGCTACCCGAGAACGCGTTTCCGGTCCTCAGCCCCAGCAGCATCATGGCAGAGTTACGGCGAGTAGACCGAGACGCCGGGGCAGATGCCGCTGGCGAGGACATTGGGAACCTCTCCCATTCGGTGCACAGAGCGCTGGAGCAGAGCATGTCCTTCTGGGACCCGCCGAACAGGGCGCCCACGTTGAACTTGCCACTGCGACAGTCTGCTCTTCGGCATTCCAGTGCAATGCCAGCGGGGGCTCGCGGGAATGCCCAGGCGCCACCGCGGAAGATTGCGCGCTCCAAGATGCGGGAGAAGCTGTACCCTGGCGACGCTGACCTGACAAGCAACATCCAGAGCTGGCGGAGAGGACCGGGGGGGGCAATCTCGAGACGTGCAGTTGGCAAAAGCACGATCTGGATGCAGTTCGGTCGGGGGCGCCCGATTCGTCTCGCTCTGGAAGAAGATATCGAGGATGGAAACCTTGGCGTTTGAGCTGGCGTGTATCGAACAGAGTTTGTACAGAGCATGTGCAGAATGTGTACACAGCATGTATACTCCAGAACGTCATGTCGTAAGTGGTGAGTAGATCCAAGTATGGGGAAGGTTGATTACAAGCGAGGCTTCGTGTATACACTTAGAAGGATGGCGCTGCGTTTGCTTGCATTGCCTCGGTCGCGCCATGCGTGCTCTGTGGAAGGTGCGCGTACGCGTCTACATGTGCACGCGCGTATAGTGTGTGTATGTATAAACATGGACTTCCCAGATGTATACACGTCTGGGCATGCCAGGCAGGTGGCGCGGCACGTGTGATGTGTAGCAGACAGGGTTGTGCAGCAGTCGTCGGTAAGGTGGGTAGTGTGAAGGGAGGCAAGGCCATGCGCATCCCTGCCCGATCGCAGGACTGCAGACGCACCAGATCACCCCCGACCCGCAGCAGATGAGCATCCTGGACGCCGTCGCCGACAGGTGCGTCCAGGAGGCCCGCGAGCAGGACCAGCTGCGCGGATCGCCATGCTCCCGGCTGTTCGTTCTCGGCCTGCCGGGTTCAGGGAAATCGGAGGTCATCCGGTGGCTGTGCGAGGAGGGCGTGGGGCTGTTCCCCACGTGCATGGGATGGGAACACGAGGTGCACTTCATCAAGACCGCCCCCATGAATTCCATGGCGAGCAACATCGGTGGGCGAACCATCCACAACTTCAGCAAGCTCGGAATCGACCTCATCACGGGAGTCCAGTCCGGCGGGAAGAAGGACCCGGAGTTGTCGGAGAACATGCTGCACACGAAAATCCAGCACATGCGCTGGCTCATCATCGACGAGGTGGAGACCGTTTCGGTGGAGTTGCTGGACGCCGTGCACAGGCAGGTGAAGGACTCGACGAGGGACAAGGGAAACCCCTGGGCCGTGGACGCACGCGTTCCAAAACAGTTCGCCAGGTTCGGAGGGCTCAACCTGGTGCTGCTCGGGGACTTATGGCAGATACCGCCCGTCAGGAGTCTCAGTATTGCCGCCAACCCATTTGTCAAGAGACCCGCCAACGTCGGCCGCATACTGGAGATGTTCTGGACAGAGGGCTTGCCGCACTCGGTGACTAACCGCTACGCCCTGGCCCAGTCGCACCGCTGCTCAGACGTGTGGTGGAGAAGCTTTCTCGCCGAAGCGCGCGCTGGGAATCTGTCGGACAGGATGTACGATTTCGTCCACGGCTTCCCCACTGATGTGCCCGGCTCCTGGATGCCCGCAAGCCCCGGCAGCGCCGAGGCCTCGACGGGGCACTTCGGCTGCGGGAAGGCGAAGTGCCGCGCGCTCTGGTCAGTTGAGTGGCCACGGATGTTCGGAGAAGGTCGGGCCTGGGAGGACATGAAATCCCTGGAGTGCGCTGAGTGCAGCGCGGAACGCCATCGGCGCTGCCGCGTCGCCTCTCAGAGCGATGCCAGACAGCGGGAGGTGAGCACGGCGTTCGCGGACGCGCTGTTCGTGCACCCGAACAACGCCCCGAAGAGCAGGATTCTGACGCTGCGAGCGGCGAATGCGGCAGCCAATGCAGGGAAGCAGCTCCTCTGGGTGGTGGCGCGCGATGTCCCCCTCACTCGGGACGACGCATGCAGGTCGACGGAGTCGCTCTCCCACGCCAGGCAGAACTGGCTCATGTACCCCGAGAACAAGACTGGCGGAGTTCCGGGTGTGCTGCCGATCTTCGAGGGGATGCGGGCGCGGTTCACCACCACGGAGAATGCGGAGGCGGGAGCCTGCAAGCACTCCTGGGGTACCGTGACGGGCTGGGTCCTCCACCCCGACGACTCGAAGTTGGTGTAAGACCACAGGTCCGAGCCGGAGCTGGTCCTGCAGCACGTGCCCGAGGCGATCATGGTGCAAATTCCCGGGAACACGGCGCCCCGCTTTGGGAATCAGCCCGCGGGCGTCTTCCCCGTGAAGCAGAGGGAGGTGTCCTGGGATCGCAGTCCCGGCTTCAAGGCCATGGTGAAGCGCGCGGGGTTCCCGCTGGTCCCGCACTTCGCCGCCACGGCCCACTGCGTCACCGGCGCCACGCTGCCGCAGGCCATTATCGACCTCCTGGACGCGCGCACGACGCCCCGCGCAGCCATGGTCCCCACGGGCTACGTGGCCATCAGCCGCACCAGGAGGGCTGACGATCTGATCATCACGCAGCCTTTTTCGCCCATGCTTTTCCGCCAGGGGCATCAGACGGGCCCATGGCTCTTGCACTCCCTGACAGCCGGGGAGATGACGACGGAGCAGGCGGAAGCCGGCTGGGCCAAGGCAGAGAAGGAAGCCGCGTCCAGGTCGTCCAAGAAAGTTGGTGGACGTCACTTTCCAGTGCGCCGACTGCCACCAGCGGAAGAGAGCGGGCAACTTCCCAGGCAGCGGCATGAGAACGAGCGACCCCGTAGAGCACGCCGTGGCGTTGCTGTGCCAGGGCGCGTGGAGGAGGTGCGCCCTGTGCGCGCAGAAGCGGACCTCTGCTGCGGGCGCGCCCGCCGCGGCTGCAGAGCCATTCGCCGCGAAAGGCAGAGACGTGCTCGTCTGCAATCGCTGCAAGGAGACTAAATCGTTAAAGAACTTCAGACGCAGCGAGGTCAATGACTTGACGGGAAGAGGGGCGCTGGACCTTGCCGTTTGCGTCGCTTGCACCCCTGAGAGGCAGCATTTCAACATTATGTCGGAGGGCCGCCTTTTTAAGTGCCGCATCTGCTCGCAGGAGAAGGCAGCGGATCAGTTTGATGCAGCCTTTTTTAAGATGCACAAGAGCGTCAAAGACGCCGCGTGCACAGAATGTCTCGACGAAAAAGGGAAGCCCCTCTGTCAGGGAGGCTGCGGAGCAAGGCCTCCAGACCGCTTGACGTACAGCACCGGTTTTTGGTGCGAGTCTTGCAAATTCCCGCCGTGCGCGAGATGTGGCACGACTCCGCGGCCGAAGACGGCCAAGTACAGAGTGTGGAACATGAAAGAGTGGACCTGCGCTCAGTGCCGGGATCCGCGCGGGGGGCTGAAATGCGCCCAGTGCTCGGCAGTGTTTATGCGAGCAGCCGTGAAGAGTTCCCAGCGCGACAAAGCAGACATGCTCTGCCCCGCTTGCAGGCGGGCAGAGTAGGCGCCGCGCTTGCAGGCGGGCAGAGTAGGCGCCGCGCATCCGATCCGAACTGGTCATCGCCGCCGTGGAGAACTGTGGAAAATGTTGGCGTTACATGGCGTGACATGCTCGGCCTCCGCGCGCGTGTGCCGCTCCGGCCTGCCATCCCCGGGGCTTGAGGCGGTGTCCTGGAAGGGCTCATGGGAGCTTCGTGGAAGCCTCCAGGGATCCTCTTGGGGCATCTTTGGGGCCGCCTTGGGGCCTCTCGGGGCTTCTTCTTGACGTCTTGCGCCGTCTTGGGGCGCTCTTGCGCCGCCCAGCCCCTTCGGAGGCCATCTTGGAGGCCTCTCGCGGCCGCCTTGGGGCTCTTTGGGAGTCTCCTTCGCCCGTCTTGGAGACCCCTTGGCCCGTCATGGGGGCCTCTTTTGGCCGTGTCGGGCCCCTTTGGGCCATCTTGGAACCTCCATGGGGGCCTCTTGGGCCGTCTGGGGGTCTCCTTGGAGGCTGGTTGGGCCGTCATGGTCCTCTGAGAGCCGGCAAGGGCGAGAACGCGAAAATTATTAAAAAGCCATTGGGAAATTTATGATTTTGGCTCATGGAGGCGCCCTTTGGGATCATTTTGGGGCCCTCTTGGGCCGTCTTGGGGGCCTGACGGGCCCTCTTGGGACCATCTGGGGCCGTCTTGGGGCCGTATTGGGCCGTCTTGGGCCGTCATGGGGCCATCCTGGAACCCCCTTGACGCCTTCTTGGAGTCCCAAGAGGCCGAAGAGGCCGAAATTGTTGATTTTACATCGGTTTTTGTAGGTTTGGGGTCCAGAATGAGGGGGGCCAACTTTTGGTACGGCGCTGTGGCGCGACTCCAGGGGGGGGTTAGGGGGGGAGACATAATAATGTAACAAAACACAATATGTATCAATTGTGCAATAGAGGCCGAAAAGGCCGAAATTGTTGATTTTACGTAGGTTTTTGTAGGTTTGGGGTCCAGAATGAGGGGGGCCAACTTTTGGTACGGCGCTGTGGCGCGACTCCAGGGGGGGGTTAGGGGGGGAGACATAATACTGTAACAAAACACAATATGTATCGATTGTGCAATCATTGGACACATCGGATACGTTGCATTAAGGCGTTCGCCGAAAAACGCTACCGCTCAGCACGTCACTTCCGGACGTGGATTCTTGGGCTTACGCCACACCGCCGACCCTTTGGGGGGGCTCGCAGCGCGTCGCCTTGGACGTCAGTTGGCCCGTCTTGGGGCCCTCGAGGGCTATGTAGGAACCCTCTTGGAGGCGTCTTGGACCGTCTGGGAGCGGGTTTTGGGGGCTCTGGGGCCGTGCAGGAGCGGGGGACACCCCCAAAGGCTCTCCGAAGATTTCATGGCGCCTCTTCTTGTTTCATTGCGTCCCAGGCACTCCCGCTGGGCCGCGCACGTGCCGCCGGTCATGATTTGCACCCCCCCCTCTTGGACACCCCCCTCTTGGCCGCTCCCGATCTACAAGGGGGGAGCACTCCACAGCAGTCGAAAGATTGTCTGGGGACGATTTTCGGACTGCGCATTCTTGAGCACTTTTGGAATCTGTCTGGGGTCTTCTGCTTTTGTATCTCTGTCGTCCAAAGTGCCCCTGTAGGGGGACGGGCCCGACCTGACTCTGGATGGGTGTGGCCGGAGGTGCTCGAGTTCATCACGGGCGGGGACCTGTACCGCCACCTGAAGAAGAAGGACCGGGCCTTTTCTCTCCCCGCAGGGTCGAGCGGGGGAGGGGGGCGAGGGAGGGATGGCCGGGGGAGGGCGAGGGAGGGGTGGCGAGGGGGAGGGCGAGAGGGGTGGCGAGGGGGAGGGCGAGAGGGGTGGCGAGGGGGAGGGCGAGGGATGGCGAGAGAGGGAGGGAGGGAGCGTGATGGGGGAGGGCGGCAGGAGGAGGAGGAGGAGGAGGAGGAGGAGGAGGAGGAGGAGGAGGAGGAGGACGAGAGGCAGGACCAGAGGAAGTCGAAGATGCGCATAAACGATGCTGCAAAACACCCTCTCGTCCCAAGTCCCCTCACGTGCTCCTACAGGTCCTCCTTGTTACTCCAAGATGGCCCCCCCTTGAAAGACCAGCACGGTTGGGCCTGCTATTTTGGAGATGGCCCCGCTCTGAGGCATGATTTATTTGCATCGTGACAGAGAGCGAGGATTATCTATGATTTATTGTTGCGTGTTTTATGTGTATTTCTGATTTAGGTATTTGCATTTATTTGTATGATTTATTTACAGTTCAACGGGGTTTCCAGCGATATCCCGCCCTCGAAGAATGACCGACCCCTCATCCGCTTAATTGTAACGCAGGTTTGCAACGCTTGTGTTCGTGACCTTCGATGACGTCTCAAGCGGCAGTCTCATGTGGGAATGAAGCCGCCATGGCTCCGTACAGTGCTACGTGCGTTTGCAGTGTCGGGTCCGTGCATACTTGACGAAGCCTCAGGCGAGAACTCCATTCAGCAAAAGAGTTTCTCCATCCTGCGTAACGTTACGTACAACAGGAATGCGCGCACGCCGCTAAGGCGAGATCCCAACTTTGTGAAGCATTCGGCCTCCATCCGTGAAGCTTGTGCACAATTTCAAACCGAGTGTGCCTGGCACTTCTGCGAGAGCACCCTTTTGAAAGCAACCCTCCTTCCACCCTTCCAGTTCTCGCAAACTTTGAATACGAATTTTCGCGGCCCTGGTGCAAGATCCATATCTTGAAAACGCCCCCGCCATCCGTGAAGTTGAGACAAGTGTTTCAGACAAGTGCACGCGGCGCCAATGTGCGGATTAAGATGATGATGATGATGATGATGATGATGATGATGATGATGATGATGATGATGATGATGATGACGACAAGGATGAGGATGAAGATGAGGAGGATGAGGATAAGGATGAGAATGAGGATGATGATGAGGCTGAGGATGATGATGCTGCTGATGATGATAAGGATGAGGATGCTGATTCTGATGATGATGATGATGCTGATCATGATGATGACGATGGTGATCATGATGCCGATGATGTCGATGATGATGATGCTGACGTTGATGATAATGACATTGAGCATGATGATGATGACGATGACGATGATTATGATGATGATGATCATGATGATTATGATGACGATGATGACGATGAGGATGAGGCTGATGATGAGGATGAGGATGATGATGCTGCTGATGATGATGATGATGAGGATGAGGATGGTGATGGTGATGGTGATGATGGTGATGATGCTGATGATGATGGTGATGATAGTGATGATGATGATGATGATGATGGTGATGGTGATGCGGATGATGATGATGATGATGATGATGATGATGATGATGATGATGATGATGATGATGATGATGATGATCATCATCATGCTAACGCTGATGAGGGTGGTGATGAGGATGATGATGATGATGACCATGATGATGATTATTATGAGTTTGAGGATGATGATGACGGTGATGACGATGAGGATGAGGATGAGGATGATGCGGATGAAGATGAGGATGAGGACGAGGCTGAGGCTGAGGATGAGGATGAGGATGAGGCTGAGGCTGAGGATGATGATGGTGATTAGGATGATGATGATGTCGATGATGTCGATGATGTCGATGATGTCGATGGTGATGAGGATGCTGATGATGATAATGATGATGATGATGGTGACTATGATGACTATGATGATGACGATGATGGTGATGACGTTGATGCTGATGATGCTGCTGATGATGATGGTGATGATGATGATGAAGATGCTGATGATGACGATGATGATGATGATGATGCTCATGATGCTGATGATGATGCTGATTATGATGATGGTGATGATGATGCTGCTGATGATGAAAATGATGATGGTGATGGTGATGATGATGATGATGATGATGATGATGATGATGATGATGATGGTGATGGTGATGGTGATGGTGAGAATACTGATGATGATGATTATGATGATGCTTATGATGATGATGATGATGATGATGATGATGATGATGATGATGATGATGATGATGGTGATGGTGATGGTGATGATGGAATGATGCTGATGATGATGGTGATGATGGTGATGATGATGATGATGATGATGATGGTGATGCGGATGATGATGATGATGAGGAGGAGGAGGATGAGGAGGAGGAGGATGCTGCTGATGATGATAATTATGATGATGATGATGCTGATGATGATGATGATGATGATGATGATGATGATGATCGTGGTGATGCTTATGATGCTGATGATGATCATGATGATGCTGCTGATGATGATGAAGATGAAGATGACGCTGATGATGTCGATGATGATGATGATGATGATGATGACGACGACGATGACGATGATGATGATGATGATGATGATGATGATGATGATGATGAGGCTGATGATGATGATGATGATGATGATGATGATGATGATGATGATGATGATTCTGATTCTGATTATGATTCTGATTTTGATTCTGATTATGATTACGATTATGCTTATGATTATGGTGGTGGATGAGGAGGAGGTCTGGCGCCGCCTCAGGGACCTTTCTCCGAGCCGGACGCGGCGCACGTCTTCGCCCAGATCGCGGAGGGGCTCAAGCACCTGCACGACAACGGCAGCACGGGGTCCTTTTCCCCCTCCTCCCCCTCGTCGTCCTCCTTCTTTTCCTCCTTTCTCTTTTCCTCCTCCTTTCCCACCTCCTCCTCCTCCTCCTCCTCCTCCTCCTCCTCCCCCTCCTCATCATCTTCCCCCCCCTGAATCCTCGGCCCCAGCACCAGACCCGTCTTTGGTCTGAAGTCCACCAGGGCCAGGGAGGGGGATGGGGGAGTGGGAGGGGAAGGGCGAGGAAGGGAGAAGGAGGAGAAGGCGGAGGAGGAGGAGGAGGAGTAGGAGGAGGAGGAGGAGGAGGAGGAGGAGGAGGAGGAGGAGAGGAGGAGGAGGAGGCGGAGGCGGAGGCGGATGGGGAGGAGAGGGGAAGAGGATAGGGAGGCGGATAGAGGAGGAAGGAGGATGAGGAGGAAGGAGGAGGAGGGGAGGAGGAGCCCCCGGGCGGGCAGCCGGTTGGTGTGGGCGGCACCTCCCGGCGTCCGGGGGAACTGAAACCCGCTCTGTCGTGGCCTGTGTGGGGGCTGCGCCGCTGCCGAAACCACCCACCCACCCACGGCATTGCCGTGGGTGGGTGGGTGGTTTCGGCAGTGGGGGCACCGACCCCGGTCTTCGGACCCAAACGGTAATCCCGATTCGGCTGCGGCCGAATCGGGTCCCCTCCACTGTCTTGGCCCGTCGACTCCCCGGTCGCGCCAGGGTGTGGAGGGGGGGTCTGGCTTCGGCCAGGCCCGCGGGGTGTCCTGCTCTGTCCTCCTTGGGCAAGGGGGCTGGGGGGAGCAGGCCTGGTTACCCATGCGCGGTAACACGCGCCGTGTGCCCCGCACGGCGACGTGGGGTAGCCTGTGTCCCCTGGTGCAGGTAGAACCAGGGAGGCATAGGGGCCGCCCGCCTACGGCGGGTTGGTGGAGCTCCTGGTGCTCCACGTGCTGAGCTTGGCGCCTCTTCTCTTTCGCTTCTTTCCTCGTCGTCCTCTTTCTCCCCCCCTCGCGCCTCGTCAGGTAGGTGCGGCCCCTAGCTCTAGGGGGTCGCGCGGCGGTGGGCGCGTGACTCATCGACCGCAACTGGTGCGCAGGAGGAGGAGGAGGAGGAGCAGGAGGAGGAGGAGGAGGAG